GATGTTGTCCGGTCCCATTGCCTTTGAGGTATCGATGTCCCTTAGCAGTTTCTTCACCTCCTCCTCATCTGTATGTATGTCGTCCAACACTTGTTGGTGTATTCCTTGCTGGTGTCCCCATCTGGTCTGTCCCCCCTGAGTCCTTCCTGTCTCTACTGTAAATACTTCCTTAAAAACTCGTGTTGAGCTCCTCACATACCTCTTGATCGTTTCTTGTGAGTTCTCCACCTTCTTTCCTCAGCCTTATCACCTGGTCTTGACTGTTGTTTTCCTCCTAATGTGGCTATACAGCAGTTTCGGGTCAGATTTGACTTTCGATGCTATGTCGTTTGCATACTGTCGCTGGGCCTCCCTCCTTATCTGTGCATACTCGTTTCTGGCTCTTCTACTAATCTCCTTGTTTTCCTGGGTCCTATGCCTCCTGTACCTTTTCCATTCTCTGTTGCACTTAGTTTTTGCCTCCCTACACCTTCGGGTAAACCAAGGACTCGTTTTGGTCTTCCTATTATTTCTGTTTCCCTTGGGAACAAACCTTTCCTCTGCCCCCTTGCACTTTGTTGCCACATATTCCATCTCGTTTACTGATTTTCCTACCATTTCTTTGTCCCATTAACCTCCTGCGGAAGTTTCTCATACCTGTGTAGTCCCCCCTTTATATTTTGGGCCCTGTCCCCTTCGGTTCCTGTTACCTTCTCCACTTGTAACTCTACTATATAATCAAAACTCTTTAACCACGTGATCGCTAGCTCCAAGGGGCCTCTCGTAAGTGATGTCCTCAATGTCTGAACTGCTCCAGGGTGAACACAAGATCCAGTCTTGCTGGCTCATCCCCCCTCTCCTCTTGTTGTGTCCCTGACATTGTTGATGCATGAGGTTTTCAAGTACCACATCCATCATCTTGGCTTTCCATGTTTGGGACCCCCATGTGGCTCCAGGTTTTCCCAGTCGATCTCCCTGTGGTTGAAATCGCCCATTACCAGTAACTTTGCTCTGCTCGAGTGAGCTCTTCTTCCCAAACCTCAGCCAGTGTGTCCACCATCACCCTGTTGTTTTTCTTCGTACTCCTCTCTTGGCCTCCTGCAGTTCTGTGGTGGTTATACATCCTCCAATGACTATTTTATGTTTCCGGACTGAATTGTACCTACAATGTAGTCTCTTTCCCCAAATTTCATGTCCATGCCTTCCATTTCCTCAAATCCCCATTGGTGTTTTATGAGCAGTGAAACCCCCTCCTCCCCCCCTCAAACTCCTTCTATCTTTCCTCAGGATCTGATATCCCATTGGGAAGATTGGTCTGTTATTGTCTCAGCGAGTTTTGTTTCTGTGACTGCTATGATGTCTGGGGATTTTTCAATGATTCTTTCGTTCCCTCCCTCATGTTTATTCGTTATTCCATCCGCGTTTGGGTGTACCAAACTTTCAGTTTCTTTTCTATCATTGTAGTCATGCAAGAATATTGGGGTTGGGGGAGCGAGAGCCTTGGTGGGGGCCTATAGGGGGCTGTGGTGTAGGTGGGGTTTGTGATGATGGGGGTGGGGTCAGAATGCCCATAAGGGACAGCTGTTGGGTGGGGTTTGTGATAGGGGGGGTTGGGGGCAGAGGGGACAGTGAGTGGGTTGTAGTATAGGTTGCTCATTGTGTTGGGAATGTCGCAGTTGGAGTCTTTTGGGGGGAGATTCTGGGGGGTGTTTGCCCTTCCCCTGTGTCTGGGTCCTGCTCATCTTCGCCCATTGCCTCTCGTTCCTCCTTGCGTCTCTGTACCCTCTCTTTCAGTGTAGTCCTTTCTTCTTGTGTTCTGTCGCGGTCGAGGTATACTCTCTGGTACCCCTGTTTGTCCCTCAGTCTTGCTTTCTCTTGCAGAATCCTGGTTCGAACTGATTCTTCCTTGAAAATTACTTTGACAGGGCCCTATCCTTCCACTCGCAAACCGCCCAATTCTCTGAAAATTTGTCACCTGGGTCATATCGCCCTCACCTATTGTTTTCATGGTGCCTTCAATCATTTTTTTCTCCTCCTGTTTTTTTCTTCGAAGTTGTCCCCCTTGGCTTCTTGGAGCCTGTACACAAAAACGACCTCGCCCTTTCCTCCTCCCAAATGAGTCTCCATCTGCTTCCTCTGAGGCATTTTATTTTCCTTCCATTGACATGTTCTTGCCTTCAGTCCCTGTCATATCTGAAACTTTATTCTCATTGAACGTCTTTCATGACCAGCTGTCCCTTGCTACTGCAGTTGGCTGTTAGAATCTCTGCATATAGCATACCTTCATTTTCTTCGGACCTGTCCATTTGATCTTAGTGTGCTCCTCGTCTTTTCCCTGGCCCCACGTGGGTCTGATAGACCTTCGCGTATGGCATGTCCCTTTGTTGCTTACCGTCCCCTTGTCTGTGCCCGACATTGAATTTCCCGATGTCACATCTGAATTGTCATTTGTCTCTCTAATCTGTTTCAGGCTTTGCAGTTTCTCTTCTAAGCACTGTATCCTAGCTTCTGCTGCTAAGACCTGTACTTCCCACTTCCTGCACTCTTCAGCTATCCGCTCCTCCATTTTCTTACCAAGCTCTACTATCTTCCTTCCCCACTCTTCCTCCCTTTTTTGGAGCTCTAACTCCCAGTCTTTCCTCCCTGGTTCGTCCACCAGATCTCTGGTTTTCCGTCCTCTAGGGCCACCCATATTTTTTTTTTTTTTTTTTACCACAGACAGAAAGGGTTAGAGGAGGGAGAGGGTGAGAGGGGGAGAGAGAAAGGGTAGAAAGAGGGAGAGAGAGGAGAGAGTATGGGGGTGAGGGATAAGACCAAGGGGGGGAGAGAGAGAAATGTGAGGGGGGGGAGAAAGGGTAGAGAGAGGGGAAAAAAGGGAAAAAGAGAGAGGAGAGAGAGAGAGAGGGAGAAAAAGGGGGGTGAGGGAAAAGGCTATGAGAGAGAGAAATGCGAGGGAGGGGTAGAAATAAGAAAAAGGGAGATGGAGAGAGAAGCCTATAGAGAGAGAGGAGGGTGAGGGATAGGGTTATGGGAGTGAGAGGGGAGAGAGAGAGAGAGTAGGGGGGAAGGGGAGAGAAAAAGGCTATGAGAGAGAGAAACGTGAGGGAGGGGAGAGAGAAAGATAGGAGGGAGGGGGAGGGAGTGGGGGAAAGGGGGAAAGGTGGGGGAGGGAAAGGTTGTGGGGGGGTGAGGGGACACGGTCAAATTCCAAGGATCAGCTGTGTGAATGAGTGGGTGTGTGTACTCACCTAGTTGTGGTTTCAGGGGTCAAGACTCAGCTCCTGGCCCCGAGTGTGTATGTGTGTGCATGCTTGAGTGTTTCTTTTTTTTGGTTACCCTGCCTCGGTGGTATACAGCCAACATGTTTAAAAAAAAAAAAAAAAAAAAAAAAAAGCTTTGAAATCTTGTAAATGAATGTTGCAAGGAATGTGTACAATGTTTATTCTGGACCCTATTTTTAAATTGGCAATTTTTAATTTTGTGTGAAATTTCTGATCACTTTATTGGGTAATTGAAATAGGTAAATGGACAGTTTTTTGTACTCATTCAATAAAATGGAATGAATACTAGTGAAATAACAATAAGTTTGGTCAACTGGAACAATGGAATTGGCTTAAAACAGGAATCAAAGTGGGCAAAATCACAAGGACCACTAACTTTGTAAGAGCATAATTCCATAAGTTTTCCATTAAATTTCGTACTTTTGGTTTCATTACCTTCAGAAAAAGTTTCTCTATCATTTCATGAGAATTTTTTTTTTAATTCTTGGACTATGAGAGCAATTCTCAGATCAAGGGTCTGGACCCTGAAAGGGTTAACCAAATGTTTAGGGAGATTTTAACCAGTTGAGAAAATAATTTTTGTTGGGGACCTAAATGATAAAGTGGGAGAAATTGTTGTAGGAGGTGTAGCAGGTAAGTTTGGAGTGCCTAGGGTAAATGATAATGGGGGCCTTTAATTGATCTATGTATAGAAAGAGATTTGGTAATGTGCATTTTAAGAAAATGAGAATAAATAGGTACAAGAGATACAATATAGGACAGTAGTTTGTTAGACTATGTATTATTAGTAGATACAACACTGATGGGTATCCTTCTGGATGTGCATGTGCGAGCAGGACAGCGGGAATTTTCCCCTTGTCTAGTGGGTTCTCGAGCAATCTGCCTGTGGGTCAGGCCATTGTCTTTGCTGGGAAATCTAGCTTCCTTCCCTGCCACCCCAGTCTCAGTGTTCTGTACATACACGTCCCGTACAATTACCAGATCTGTGTTTGTGAATTGGGTTTTGGTCTTTTCATTCCCATATTTTGTATCTGCGAAGCAACCATGGTACCCAAGAGGCATGCAAGTGATGCCAGAAGTGGCAAGAAAAGCTTTAAGCATTTAAGTCTTGGACTTATGAAAAAAATTGAGATATTAGACAAGCTTAAAACTGGTACGCATGTATTGGACATGGCTAGAGCTTATGGTCTTAATGAAACATCAGTTCATACAAAAGTGAGGCAAATATACAGCCATAAGCAGTGAATAACCCAGGTTGTCATCTCCTGAAAAGAATGACATATAGACGACAACTACCTGAATAAACTGGCTTACTGACTTAGACTTACTGACTCGACTTACTGACTCCCTCTCCACTCCGTTAAGAATTATTGACATATACCAGCAACCACAATATAAGGTAAGAAATATTCTGTAACATTCATAGCCTTAAGCAGTGCATTAAACATAATACATAATGACAGTGAACAACTGTTACATTATCATTTTTATTTTTGTAAGATTTGTAGACCTAAAAAAAAAAAAAAAAAAAAAAAAAAGTTTAGCATTTTGGGGGGTCCCAGAAACATAACCCTATTTTTCCTATAAGTTTTTCAGTTTGTTTAACACGGATTCGTCTGACACTGCATTTTCAGGAACTACTGTGGTAATCGATGGTCTACTGTACATAAATTCAGAAGGGAATGAGTGAGTTCATTAAGTGATGTGTCAGGACATTATTTTGATGTTTCATTTCTGCAGGTGGTCAGTGGTCGACTAGTGGCAGCCATGATGTTCGACTCTTTGAACTGTCTAAGTCAGTCCACTGGGTGGTCGACCCAAGTGGAGACCGAAAGAGAAAAGTAATTCCAGGAGATGACTCAGATGATGAGGATGGCAACAAACCAGTGCTTACTAGTGATATTTACAGAGCTAGACAACAAAAGAAAATGAAATAAAGCTATCTCACCTACTATATTATGTACCAGGTTGTAATGGCTGTGGGCTACTGACAGCAACACCATGGTTGGTCAGGCAGCCAACAAGGAAGTTTTGCCTCAGGGCAGACTGCAAGGGTAGAACCCTTGAGATCAGTCACAGGTATGGTGGGAATCTGATGATGTACCATTATCAATGTTGTAAATCATCTCTACACAAGAGGTTTCTGTTGAAGATTGTGTATGATAGTAGGTATATGACACAGCTCAAACTTCTTAATCTTACTAAGTTCATAGAGTAATCAGGTTTTAGACATTCTGATATTTCATATCATTATGAGATTGTTGATGTTGTATTCAGTGTCAAAGATAAAAGATATTTACCAAGACTGATTGCAATATCTTAAAAAGTCTCTGAGTATGTTGTGAGCAAACATTTTTAACTGTGATATGGAGTACCAGTATTGCAGTGATCGCTGACCAAAATTCAGGTCATTGTATAATTTATCTTCGCAGAAGTCTTTTATTTTCTCATTTAAATTAAAATACCAAGTTCTGTAAAGAGCTACGAGGTGCAGTTGTGTTCTGCATCACATCCCATAATACTGGGGCTCAGTTCAGGGGCAAGGTAAGATTAACAGACTGACAGATGCATTCAGCTGCCAGCCACAGCTGGTTGTCTTCATGATGAGTCTCAGAGTTGAACTTTAATATACACAAGGGTATCACTGAGTTATAGTAGTTATCCATGCCAAGGATGTGAGGATTTGATTTTATAGAAACTTCTTGCTGGTATTAAATAAAAACAAATTTAGCAATACACAAGGCCCTGTTTTGAGAATAATGTATTATTAATGTAAATATTATGTTTTATGGTAAGAGATGCAAGAAATTTTCTGAAGATTAGCTATCATCATCTTTAGCATATTAATTGTTTTTCCATATTTTAATCAACTTTCAATGCTATGACCAGCATGTGAACCTAGGAATCCTAAGCTCAGGGACCCACATGTACTCTAAAATTTCCGATCTTAGTTTCGTGTTATTGTGAGATTTGTAGTCATGACTTAAGAATTATTGAGAGATTGTTCTATTCTAATCATGCCTGAGTGCTAAGGGAAACTAGGTAAGATAATTGTGAGTCATAATTATCAGTGCATAAATTGCTAAATTTTTATTCTGTAAATGTTGTCTTGAGGAATGAAAAATTGTACAAGCCAGCATGTATAGAAGGTAAATCAGGTTCACCAAACCAGCAAGTTGGCTGCACTTTTTCAAAGATTTCTTGAAACCCAATAAATACGAAGACTCCAGGTGTACAAAGTGAGACCTTCAGAGATCATATTCAACTTACCAGTATTAAAATTGAAAATACAAAATGTGACAGAATATGTTAGTCTAAGCCAAAAAAAAAGTTGATGAAGGGCAATAAGTCTTTAAAAGTGAAATGAAATTTTTTTTTGTCTCGAGTTTCATAGCTATTTTGAAATGAAAAGTACAAATAATGTATGTGTATATATATTGTGTGTATGTGTATGTATATAGTAATCAGTTTTGTAGTTCAGATTAATGGCACAACATGCCAAGCTAATTTTATTTTTGAAACTGTGAAGAATTTAAACATAAAAATATCATCATAAAATGTAATCTAAATCTGATTCTTATTCATATAATAAAATGTTCTATAGATCAGTTAATTCAGTGTAATTTATATTTGTATATGTCCATGTACAGGCCTTGAAAATTGAGGTTGTAATGCAAGTATAAATAGCAAGCATATATTTAGGAAACAGACAACACTGTAGGTGATGAAGCTGATAAACACATCATCAGGAAGTATTTAAGAGTTCTCTGAGAGCTGTAGGACCTTTAAGGTTTGCCACATTTTTTTGTGACTATCATAATCACGAGTTTCTTCATGCATCAGTATTGTTTAAAAATTGTCTCGAGGTGTACCTTTAGGTATTTCAGAACTGCAGTGTGTATTAATATATTTTATTGTATCTTTGTGTAGTTTTGATGTATCATTAAGGTTATAAATTATTACTACAATATCCCAGTATGCATTACTTCATCTTTTACCACTTCCTCTCTTTTTCTACTCTGTAGCTACTTTCCTCTCTTTACCAATAGTTCCTACCACTTTTCCTCTCTTCACCAACACTTCTTACCCTTGTGACAGTGTTAAAGTTCTAACATATTGTGTTTCCTGTTGCATTATAAATGCACCCATGTTCACCAGATTTTTTATACAATAATAATAATATGTTACTTCTCTAATAAAAAGAAAATGTGTTCATTATTTCCATCTCATTTATGCTAATCATCATCATTCAACAAACTGGCTGTATCCCACCGAGGCATGGCGCCCCAAAAAGAAAAACAAAAGTTTCTCTTTTTAACTTTGGTAATGTATACAGGAGAAGGGGTTACTAGGCCCTTGCTTCCAGCATTTTAGTCGCCTGTTACGATATGCATGGATTTATACTAATATTTAAATATAATTTGATTTTTTCTAATCAATTATTGCTTTATCTTTGCAAACCCCTCAAGGGAGGTTCCTTGACACTGGTGAGGGGCTCGTGATCTAGGGAATTGGATCTGTGCTCTGGTTCCCTGAATTGAGCCTAAATACCTTCCACCCCCACATGTGCTGCATAATCCTACACGTTTAGCACTCCCCTATAATTTTAATAATAAATATCTTTGCAAAGCTGTTGAAGAGTAATTAATGAACCATGACCCATAAGGGTTAATTAACACTTACTTTTTAACCCTTAAACGGTCCAAACGTATATATACGTCCACTCGCGCAGTGCCCCAAATATTTTGAATTTTTTTTTTTTTATGTAGAAAAAAGAGCACATGTTTTAAGTGTTTTAGAATAAAAAAAAAATTAGGGTCAGTACTTGCCGAGATATGAGGCCGCGGAGTTGGCACTTGGCGATCACCTGACAGCAACATAGAGCACTGCCACTTGCAGAAATTCTACATATTTGCCATTTTCTTCCATTTTTTTTCTTGGTTTTCATGATATGATAATTATGTTTTATAGTAAATCTTTTGATTTCAGTGCCAATTGTTGTTTATACACCAGTATTATATATGAAATTATTATCATAATTTCATAAACACACATGTACACACTGACAGGTGATTTTGCACACCTGTCTGAATCACATTCTATTATCTACAACTATATACAAGTATTTACATGTCCCACTTATGTTTCTAAAACTCTACGATTGTATGATACTCCATGAAACATGGATTCATACAGAGTGCCACCCCACATTGGTGACAAATGAATTGTGTGTCCTGCTGTTGGGGTCGTTTTTTGGTGGTAGCACACACAATAAACTTTTTCTGGGCATTCTTCTTTTGGGTAGGTGGTATTGGTACCAGATACTGACAAGAGTAATTCAGTCTGGCATTTCCCCCACTGGCTGTGGTTGGGGGACAGGTTGTGGTGTGACAGGTCGCTGTTGAGGGGCAGGTACAGGTGTGGTACCATACTTGCTATCTGTTTGACAACATTCAGAGAGAATTCTGCAAAACGTTGTCGTTTTCCAGTCTTTATTTCATACATATTGAATGCATTGAGCACTGCAATGTCTACAAGGTGAAAAAACAGTTTTATATATCACTTGCGACTCCTACGCACACAGTCAACAAACCCTATCATCACGTCACACTTGTCAACTAGTTGCATATTTTTCGTATAGTCCACCTCTTCAAGGGGGGCTCCTTGGCGTGCTGAAGAGGCTCTTGGTCTGAGGAATTAGACCTGTCGGTCTTCTTCCTCATACCGAACCTAATTACCCCCCATTCTCCCCTCCCCTATCCCATCCTCCCCTTTTTCCATTCCTCCTCCTCCTCCCCACCCCTCCCTTTTGCCCTTCCTCTTTTTGGCCTTTGGGATTTCTCCCACAGGCGCGCTAGTTCCTAGGTAGGGGAAAGGACACCGGGGTCCATCCCATTCCGTTGAGGTTCTTGGCGGTGGCGTAGTTTGCCGTGGAATCTGGATCGCCTGGGGATGTCCCGATCCCTCTCCGGTATCCCAGAGTAGCTTGGGTGTCTTTCGGGCGACGGGTGTATCTCTGGAAGCCACCTTTCGGATTCTGGGGGTGGTGGCCGAAGGAGGTATGCTTTGTGGCGGATATCCGGCCGCCCTCTCTTTTGTCCACCGAGGTAGCTCGGCAGATGTGAGGTTGCTATCCCGGATTGCTGGTTTACTGGCATGAAGGGTAGGGTATGGCACGGGTTCCATGCTGCATCTGCGCTACTAGCGGTGCTGAGGTCCTCTTGGGCGCGGAGGGAGATTTCCGGCCCTTTTATTCCTCCTGGGAACTATTCCTCCCCACTCCCCCCTTTTTTTTATTCTTTTTTTTTATTTTTATTTTCCTTTCTTTTTTTTTCTTAAAAACAAAAAGCAAAGGAGTAACCTAACCATGGAGAACCCAATCCATAAAACCACTACCCCGGGCCCCTTCTTGATACCGCACCCCATTCTGACCCTGCCTTGTGTTTAGATCACTCTTCGGACACTCCTGATGCCCCTGTACCTCTTGCTGGTGCTGTTTCCTCACCCGCTTCAGGTACCGGGGCTTCGACTGACTCCTTCGATTTGTCTGAACTCCGCTCTCCTTTGACTATGCTTCCGGCTTCTCCCTCTGCGGTACGGCAATTTTCGAATCGCCCGCCCATTTCACGCCGGACCAACTCCGGTCCTACTCCTAAACGCCAACGTCAATCTCCTGATGATGCTCCTTCGTTACCTTCCCTCTCTACTCGGAAAAGACCGACACGTCAAGCACTCCCTCTCCACGCTCAGTTTCGGACCACACAATGGACTAAATTCTTTACTTTAAGACTGACTTCTTCTTCTGCCTACCTTTCTGACCATAGTATTGGCAAAGCGCTCCTGCGTCATGTTGGTAGAGATATTTCATTTCATGCTCTCAAGAGCGGTACTTGCATCGTCACTGTCCAGAATGCTACCCAAGCTCATGATCTTTCTCTCCTTTCGAATATCGATACTACTATCACTATTGAAAAACATCTTTCTCTCAATTCTTGTAGTGGTACTGTCATTCTGCCCCGTACCATAGTCCAACAGAATTTCCAGTCATGTGGCAATGACATTCTTGAACAGCTGGAACTCCAGGATCTCCCAATCCTCAAAGTAGACACTTATGTCCTTCCTGCCCGGGGGCGGAGACGTTACCCTTGCAATGTGGCTCGTTTAACTTTTGACAGCCGAGAACTCCCGTCCTCTGTATATGTTGCGGGACATCGGTTACAAGTTCGAAAGGTGATACCTACACCGCAACAATGTAGAAATTGCTGGCGTTTTGGTCACCCAGCGAAATATTGCAGATCTATGGCCGAATGCCCAGTCTGTGGTGCCAACGACCATTCTAATACATCTTGCAGTCAACCTCCATCTTGCCTTAATTGTAATGAAGCTCACCCTTCGTACTCCCGCCGTTGCCAGGTCTACTTAAATGAACGTGAAATCCGTTGCCTCAAAGAGGCAGAAGGTCTCCCTAATGCTATGGCAGTTACTCATCTCCGCCTCCAAGGGAGACTACCCCGTGTTTCTTATTCTCGTGTTTCCAAACATCCCCCCACTTCTGGGGTCCCATCTTCTGCAGCCGCCTCTGTTGTTACACCTCCCATAGCCACTCCGGCATCTAATCCTTTTGCTGTCCTTGGCTCTGACGTCCCGACTACAACTCAGTCTGTTTTCACATCTTCGCGTCCTTCCTCACACGCTCCAGTATAGACAAGACCTCATGCGACACCTAATACCAATCGCCCCTCTACTTCTCAGAAGTCCAAAAAATCCACATTGCTCAAATCTTCTTTGCCCCTTCCTTCCCTTCTTCCACCTCCACACTTTACCTTTCCAGTCTCTGTACCTAGTTCTTCCCCTCTCTCTGGCTCTATTACAAGTGGGGAGATTCACCCTCCTCCTCGTACTATGCCTTCCACCCCCGTCCCCTCCCAAGTTTCTCCCTCTTCTGCCACCTCCCAGGTTTCTGCCTCTTCTGTCCCCCCCCACACTTCATCTCCAGTCCCTTAAAACTCTTCCCTCCCCCTCTACTTTGGTACAGTCCATTACTGTCCCAATCTTTACTCACCCTCCTCCTTCTATCTCCAATATGGTCTCTCATACATCTTTGAATTCAGAAACACTTGAAGCCATTTCAGAATATATTGCAGAGACTAAACCTTCAATGGACACTGATTCACTTCCTGTTCCTTCTCTTCCCTCTCCTCCATCTTCACAACCCCATTCTTCGCACACTCCGTTCCTTCGCTGCTTGAACGTCTTCCAATGCCACCACACATTGACTTTTCTAACCCCTCTAGTCCGTAGGTGCCTTTACCTACAGATTCCTGGTATTTTCTTCATCACCAATCATGGCCTATTTACAGTGGAATATCCGCGGCCTCGGGTAATCGGGGTGAGCTTCAGATGTTACTTTCCAGGTTTTCCCCTGTTGGTGCTTGCTTACAAGAACCAAAATTACACTCGGCTGTTTTCCAACCTATCTCAGGTTATAATTTACTGTATTCTTCGGATCCTTTCTCAGATGGGACCTTTAATGAAAGTGCCCTTCTTCTATGCAATGATATTCCATACTGTCAACTATTTGTCCATACCTCGCTGCATTACACTGCAGCCCGTATCCACTTGAATAAGTGGTTTACAATATGTTCTTTATATCTCTCTCCTTCTTGAGCATTTTCTATCCCAGACTTTGCCTTTCTTGTTTCATCCTTACCACCACCACTTCTGTTACTTGGCAATTTTAATGCCCACCATTTCCTCTGGGGAGTCTCATTGTGACTCACGTGGCATCCAGTTGGAGGCTTTTCTCGCCTCTCACCCCCTCCATGTTTTAAATACAGGTACTCCCACCCATTTTGATCCTCGTACTCATACTCTCTCTTGCATCGATCTATCAGTCTGCTCTTCCTCCACTGCACTAGACTTCACCTGGTCTGTTCTACCGGACTTACATGACAGCGATCATTTTCCAATCATTCTTACTTCTCCTTCCTATTCACCACCTTTCCGTAGAACTCGCTGGCAATTTGATCGGGCAAATTGGGATCTTTACTCACACCTCACTGCTTTTAGTGAGGTTCCTTCTTCATCCTCCATTGATGAGCTCCTACACCTCTTCTCGACGTCAGTTATACCGCAGCTTCTCATTCTATACCCCAACCTCAGGCAGGCATTCTCAGAAGTGCGTGCCTTGGTGGTCTCCTACTTGTGCTCGTGCA